ATGTGAATATATAATAGAGAAATATGTTTCAAAACTTTATTCGATCAACCTATTTTAATTTTGTACTGCATATTATTTTTAAAAGTTTAGCACTATGAAAATTAATTCAAATAGGCTTTGATCTAGGTTGAGATGGGGGAAGAAAATTTCTATCAAAGCTAGAACATTGTTCAAATCCTGATTCCAATATTGTATTAAAATATATTCCTTTAAGTAAGTGCGAATGAGTTGAACCGACTCGTAAGCCTGCTCGAGCTTGACTCGATAATGATCTCATGAGCCGAGATTATTGAGTTTCTAGCTCAAGTTCGAGCAGATTATTAGCTCGAGTTCAATTGAGTGGCTGCTCGATTCGTTGACTCGTCGAACAGCTCGATCATTGACTCGTCGAGCAGCACGATTCGTTGACTCATCGAGCGGCTCGAGTGCTAAAGGTGAAACTGTGAAGGCGCAAAAAGCAAATGGTAGAACTGTTTGCGCAGAAGCGGAGCAGAAGCAGGAATAGTAGGCGTGGATATGGAAGCACGGCGCAAAAGTAGAAGTGTGAACGCGGAAGAGGAAGCGCGGGTGCGGAAGTGGAAGATCAGACACGAAATCGCCTGTAACCGTAGATGTAGAAGCTGAAATCGGAACTGGAATTGGAAGAGAACGTCGATCGTACGCCTCACAAGCTGGCTCACAAGCATGCATCCATCGCCACGAGCTGACCTCAAGCAGGCCATTTGAGCTCAAGTCGACCTCAAGCTCGAGTTCGAGCTCATGATTTGGCCGATGAGCTGAGCTTGGTTAAGCATAACTAAAGCTCAACTAGACTCGCTTACACCCCTAAAGCTCTGTAATGCCATTATATGTGTATGATTAGAATAGTTATGTGCAATTTCTCTCTCTCTATCATGTTGGACCTTATTCCTCACACAAGTACTATGCTTCTCTGACCTACTTTATTACAAGTATTGGACTGGATTAATGATCTCTCTAACAAAAGCTCTGGGATTAAAAGGCTCTATTTTCTCATTACTTGCAACATTATATATTTTGTTTGGAGAGAATGAAATGACAGACGTTTTGAGAATTTGGCTAGTAGTAGCTCTACCTTATCTCTGAAAATCAAAAAGGCGGTTTTTACTAACATATGCAAGTGGAAGAAGGTATTTGAATTGATGGATTACTTATAGTGCCGACGGTTTATTACTGGTCTCAACTCTCTGTTTTTTTCTTCGGGTTTAAAGACTCTTATAATAAAGAGTGAAAAAAAAAAAAAAATTGGAGCAGGACAAATTCCCTAAAGATCCATATAATAAAGAATTTTTTAATTTTTTAATGGGGGCAATTGTTCTCATGGCTATTCATCGCACAAAATAGAACATTCTTTTGTAAGAACAAAATTACAATTCTAAATTACCATCCAAAAATCAAAATAGAACATCTTTTGTAACTAACTACTTGTAATTTGGAGAAATTATTTTTGCAAAATGTATCGTGAAGAATTGATTTTTGGCTATAATATAGTCTGAATTAAACTAATGAGCCAGATCTTACCTTTTCCTTCTCACTGATTTTAATTGAACGGAAAAAATTCACTTAGAAGATGACTTTCTGATTGTGGCATAGATCACCCATTGTAGATTAACAATATAGTATTATTGCGTTTTGGAAAATTCACGGAGATAGAGAAATATAAAATTTAATGTCTTAGCTTTGTACGAAGATCCAGAATATAAGCAAATAAAAGAGATGGTGTAATGTTCATAAGAGACACTATAGTTTTTATGCGAAAACCCTTGAAAGGGGAGAAAAATCACGGGGTCTAGCCTAGTTTGAATGAATCCACTATTATTTGCTGTCGATTGCAAATGAGGCCCTTCCTTGGGGGGAAGGTCATGGGTTGATGTAGCAAATGTACATCATATTACATGGTGAGAATTAAAAGAATTAGTATTGAAATGTTCAATTAGTTGGCAGAACTATAGTCGGCGAACGATGGAGGTTGGAAAGATCGTAGTCTGGTGATGGGGGTTGAAAGGACCGTTATTTGGAGAGGGAGGTCGGAAGAACTGTAATAGGTGGGAGATTGTGGTCAGAAAGACCGTTGTCTGGCGAGGGAGATCATAAGGACCATATTCATTGGGAAATAGTGGTAAAAAAGATCGTTGTCTGGCGATGGAGATCATAAGGACCGTATTCATTGGGAAATTGTGGTAAAAAAGATCGTTGTCTGACGATGAAGATCAGAAGGACAGTAGTATGTGACAAAGGTCGATAGGACTGTAGTTAGCAGGAGACAAGGGTCAAAAAGACTGTTGTCTAATGATGGAGGATGGAAGGACCGTAGTAGGTGACGAAGGTCAGAAGGACCATAGGCGATAGGAGATAGGGGTTAGAAAGACAATTATCTGATGATGGAGGTCGGAAGGATCTTAGTAGCAAAAGGACTGTAGTCGGCAAGAGATAAGAGTCAGAAAGATCATAGTTTTAAGGCGGTGGTCCGACGGAAGTCAGGGCATTATTTGGTGGTCTAGTGGAACTCCGAATTTTATCTGTTGTCCACCTCAGTCTGTGGTCTGGCGGTGGTTTGGCAAAACTCCGGCTTCATGCGATGGTCCAGCTAAACTCAGGTGTCTGGCTGTGGCCCAACAGATGTCCAGCATCAGGCAGTGATCCTGACATAAGTCCAGCTTCATGTGATGGTTCGACAAAAGTTCGGGGTCAAATTGTGGTCCTGACAAAAGTCCGGCTTTAGGCGGTGGCTAGCGAAACTCTTGCATATTATGGTTGTCTGGCAAAACTCCGGCGTCATGCGGAGATCCAGCAGAACTCTAGCATTGAGTGGTGGTCAGGTAGAACTCCAACGTCCAATTGTGGTATGGTGGAAGTCTGGACGGAAGTCCAACGATGGTCAGCGGCGGGAAGGAAGATCGGTTGTGGTCAGTGTCCGGCCGGTGGTCCGACGATAGTTGGGTTGAAGTCCTGCAACAGTCGGAGGCCGAGCGATGTTTTTACGGTGGTCGGGCTAAAGTATGGAGGTAGTCAGCGGCCGGGTGGAAGTCTGGAAGTGGTCTACGATCAAGCGATGGTTCGAGGATGGTCGGGCAGAAGTCTGGAGGCGGTCAGCGACTGGTTGGATGTCCGGCAGTGGTCTGCGGTCGAGCGGTTATTTGAGGATGGTCGGGCTGAAGTCCGGCAATAGACGGCTGCCGGGCGATGGTCCAATAACGATTGGGCTGAATTCCGAAGGCGATCTACAGTAGAGTAGAAGTCTAGCAGCGGTCAGCGTCCGAACGGTGGTCTGTCGACTGTCGGGCTGAAGTACGATGACAGTTGGGTTCACCTCCAACGGCGATCAAAGGCCAGGTAGAATTTCTACGCGGTCGGCTATAGGGCTAAAGTACGACGGTAGTTAGGTTTACGTCCAACGGCGGTCAAAGGCCAGGTGGAAATTCTACGCGGTCGGCGGCCTGGCGGTGATCTGAGCATGGTCGGGTTGAAGTCCGGCGGCGGTAGGGGACTGGGTGGAAGTCTGGTGGAGGCCAGCGGCCGGCCGGTGGTGCTGGAACTCTTGAGGCTTGAGAGCTCTCTCCAATCTCTAGCCTCCAGTCCCCCTCTTGTAGAGAGTGAGGGTCTACTTATATATTTTCATGAGTGGTGCACCCCGTAAATATAAAGAAGATCCGAGGCAGGTTTGTAGTGCTCCATCGGATGGCTCGTATTTATTCCCCTTGATTATAGAGAGTTTTTCAACTTTTAAGTGCCTTAACGATGTCGGAATTTAGCGATCTTGTTCTCGTTGGATTCGTCTCACCGAGCTGCTCAATTTGACTATAAGCACACTATATTTGGATAACATTTTGTCATACAAATATTGCTTTGACTCTTCCAAATGTGGCTTGTGCCCCTGATTTGGACCTATTTAGGCTTCGGTTGGACCGATTTTGGCGTCGTTAGGTTCGTCTTTTTGAGATATTCAGTTTGATTATAAGTTTGCTGAAATTGGAATTTAGATGATCCCAAATTTAATTTTGAAAATTTCCAACTTGAATATGCCTCGAGGTTCGTGCTTTATCATAGCAATTTTTGATGATGTATCAAGTATTACTCTTATTTCAAATTTTGAAGTCACATTGCTATACTGATTTATCCTTACGGAGTTTCATGTGTGCTATTTTGTCAAATTCCTCTCTTAGAATGACTTCTATATGTTTTAGGTAGTTTGAGTTTATATAATTATAAGTTTTTTAATCTTATATTTAGTAGTTTATTTCTTAAAAAAAAATTAAAACTATCAATGCTGGTCCCAAGCTCGAATAAAAAAAGTTAAGTCAGTTTTTTTAAAGAAAAATAAAGCTCTCTCTATAAAAAGTTTCTAACTCCGCCACTCCACTCTCGTCAAATACTTGATTCTTTTGAAGCCCTAGCTCTCATTAGCCACTCAGTCAACTTTCAACCTCCACAATAATATAAAATATTAAGGACAGTTTTTTTATATATTGAATGAAAATTTCATAAAAATATAAATTTTATTTTGCAAATTCTTTACTTTGAAAGCAACCAAAAAACTATGACGTCATTATTCATATGGATGCTTGGTGCACGTAGGTCAATGAAATTTGTTTATCTCCATGAAATTACTGTTAAGATAGCACTATTCCAAGAAATAGCAGCGGAACTATTCTTAGTTCTTAGGGGGGTTAAGTGGTAAAATTATTTTGCATATTATCATTTTTAAGAGACATATTTGTTAATTTTCAAAATGTTCAAACATAATTGAATGAAAATAGGAGTTCAAGAGGCCTTACGATTTCAAATTGAGTGAAAAAAAATAAATTGGGGCTCAAAAATAAAATTCATGATGAAAAATTGCAAATAATACTTACTAAATTAAGAAATTTAATTATTTAAGCAGTACATAATTTCGTCCTTGCCAATAAAACTCTCTCTCTCTCTCTCTCTCTTAATAATCACCACACGCAGATTCTATAAAATGTAATCATGAAAGTAAGAATTCATTTGGATGAAGGATCGGCAGCAGCACGACCGGCGGCCTTCGCCTTCAAAAATGTCCTGAACTCCACCAGTTTTTCAGCTTCCGGAAGCACCTTCATCGCGGCCTCGACAGAGCAGAAGCATTCCGCCCACTCAACCAACCGCGGAGTCTTCGTCTTATCTAGAAAGTTTTTTCCCGTTATAATTTTGACAGCTTTTAGCCAATTAATATAGGAACCAAGGGATATGTCGACCAAGTTAATGGTGTCGCCGCCGAAGAAGCTCTTCCCCTTACTGCAAAAATTACATTTCTAAATTTCCCTCCAAAAATCAAAATAGAACATCTTTTGTAACTAACTACTTGTAATTTGGAGAAATTATTTTTGCAAAATGTATCGTGAAGAATTGATTTTTGGCTATAATATAGTCTGAATTAAACTAATGAGCCAGATCTTACCTTTTCCTTCTCACTGATTTTAATTGAACGGAAAAAAATTTACTTAGAAGATGACTTTATGATCGTGGCATAGATCACCCATTATAGATTAACAATAGAGTATTGTTGCGTTCTGGAAAATTCACGAAGATGGAGAAATATAAAATTTAATGTCTTAGCTTTGTACGAAGATCCAGAATACACTCAAATAAAAGAGAGGGTGTAATGTTCATAAGAGACACCAGAGTCTTTACGTGAAAACCCTTGAAAGGGGAGAAAAACACGAGGTCTAGCCTAGTTTGAATGAATCCACTATTATTTGCTGTCGATTGCAAATGAGACCCTTCCTTGGGGGGAAGGTCATTGGTTGATGTAGCAAATGTACATCATATTACATGGTGAGAATTAAAAGAATTAGTATTGAAATGTTCAATTAGTTAGCAGAACTATAGTCAGCGAACGATGGAGGTCGAAAAGATCGTAGTCTGGTGATGGGGGTTGAAAGGACCGTTGTATGGAGAGGGAAGTCGGAAGAACTGTAATCGGTGGGAGATAGTGGTCAGAAAGACCGTTGTCTGGCGAGGAAAATCAGAAGGACCGTATTCATTGGGAAATAGTGGTAAAAAAGATCGCTGTCTGGCGATGGAGATCAGAACGACCGTATTCATTGGGAAATAGTGGTCAAAAAAATCGTTGTCTGGCGATGAAGATCAGAAGGACAGTAGTATGTGACAGAGGTCGAAATGACTGTAGTTAGCAGGAAACAAGGGTAAAAAAGACTGTTGTTTAACGATGGAGGATGGAAGGGCCATAGTAGGTGACGAAGGTCGGAAGGACCATAGGCGGTAGGAGATAGTGGTTAGAAAGGCAGTTATTTGATGATGGAGGTCGGAAGAATCGTAGTAGGAGATGGAGGTCAAAAAGATAGTAGTCGGCAAGAGATAAGAGTCAAAAAGATCATAGTTGTAAGGCGGTGGTCCGACGGAAGTCTGGACATTATTTAGTGGTCTAGTGGAACTCCAAATTTTGTCGGTTGTCTACCTCAGTCGGTGGTCTGGCGCTGGTTTGGCGGAACTCCGGCTTCGTGTGATGGTCCGGTGAAACTCCGGCGTCTGGTTGTGGCCCGATAGATGTCCAGCGTCAGGCAGTGATCCTGACATAAGTCCGGCTTCATGTGATGGTTCGACAAAAATTCGACGTCAAGTGGTGGTCCTGACAAAAGTCCGGCGGTGGTCTAGTGAAACTCTTGCATCTTGTGGTTGTCTAGCAAAACTCCGGCGTCAGGCATAGATCCAGCAGAACTCTAGCATTAAGTGGTGGTCAGGTAGAACTCCGACGTCCAGTTGTGGTCTGGCGGAAGTCTGGACGGAAGTCCAACTATGGTCGGCGGCGGGGTGGAAGATCAGTTGTGGTTAGTGTCAGGTTGGTGGTCCGACGATAGTTGGGTTGAAGTCCTGCGGCAGTCGGAGGCCGAGCGATGGTTATACGGTGGTCGGGCTAAAGTATGGAGGTAGTCAGCGGCCGGGTGGAAGTCTGGCGGTGGTCTACGATCAAGCGGTGGTTCGAGGATGGTCGGGCAGAAGTCCGGAGGCGGTCATCAGCCGGTTGGATATCCATCGGTGGTCTGCGGTCGAGCGGCTGTTTGAGGATGGTCGGGCTGAAGTCCGGCAATAGACGGCTCCTGGGCGGTGGTCCGATAACGATTGGGCTGAATTCCGGAGGCGATCTGCAGTAGAGTGGAAGTCTGGTAGCGGTCGGCATCCGAGCGGTGGTCTGTCGACTGTCGGGCTGAAGTAAGATGGTAGTTGGGTTTACGTCCGACGGCGGTCAAAGGCCAGGTAGAATTTCTACACGGTCGGCGGCCTGGAAGTGATCTGAGCATGGACGGGTTGAAGTCCGACGGCGGTCGGGGACCGGGTGGAATTCTAGTGATGGCCAACTGGCGGGCGGTGGTGTTGGAGTTCTTGAGGCTTGAGAGCTCTCTCCAATCTCTAGCCCCCGGTCCCCCTCTTATAGAGTGTGGGGGTCTACTAATATATTTTCATTAGTGGTGCACCCCGTAAATATAAAGAAGATCCGAGGCAGGTTCGTAGTGCTTCATCAGATGGCTGGTATTTATTCCCCTTGATCATAGAGAGTTTTTCAACTTTTAAGTGCCTTAACGATGTCGGAATTTAGCGATCTTGTGCTCGTTGGATTCGTCTCACCGAGCTGCTCAATTTGACTATAAGCACACTATATTTGGATAACATTTTGTCATACAAATATTGCTTTGACTCTTCCAAATGTGGTTTGTGCCCCTGATTTGGACCTATTTAGGCTTCGGTTGGACCGATTTTGGCGTCATGAGGTTCGTCTTTTTGAGATATTCAGTTTGATTATAAGTTTGCTGAAATTGGATTTCAGATGATCTCAAATTTAATTTTGAAAATTTCCAGCTTGAATATGCCTCGAGCTTCAAGCTTTATCATAGCAATTTTTGATGACGTATCAAGTATTACTCTTATTTCAAATTTTGAAGTCACATTGCTATACTGATTTCTCCTTATGGAGTTTCATGTGTGCTATTTTGTCAAGTTCCTCTCTTAGAACGACTTCTATATGTTTTAGGTAGTTTGAGTTTGTATGATTGTAATTTTTTTCATGTTATATTTAGTCGTTTATTTAAAAAAAATTAAAACTGTCAATGCTGATCCCAAGCTCGAATAAAAAAAGTTGAGTCAGTTTTTTTTAAAAAAAATAAAGCTCTTTCTACAAAAAGTTTCTAACTCCGTCTTTGCACTCTCGTCAAATGCTTGATTCTTTTGAAGCCCCAGCTCTCATGAGCTACTCAGCCAACTTTCAACCTCCACAAGAATATAAAATATTAAGGACATAGTTTTTTTAAATATTGAATGAAAATTTCACAAAAATATAAATTTTATTTTGCAAATTCTTTACTTTGAAAGCAACCAAATAACTATGGCGTCATTATTCATATGGATGCTTGGTGCACGTGGTCAATGAAATTTGTTATCTCCATGAAATTACTGTTAAGAGAGCACTATTCCAAGAAATAGCAGCGGAACTAATCTTAGTTCTTAGGGGGGTTAAGTGGTAAAATTATTTTGCATATTATCATTTTTAAGAGACATATTTGTTAATTTTCAAAATGTTCAAACATAATTGAATGAAAATAGAAAGAGTTCAAGAGGCCTTACGATTTCAAATTGCGTGAAAAAAAATAAATTGGGGCTCAAAAATAAAATTCATGATGAAAAATTGCAAATAATACTTACTAAATTAAGAAATTTAATTATTTAAGCAGTACATAATTTCGTCCTTGCCAATAAATCTCTCTCTCTCTCTCTCTCTTAATAATCACCACACGCAGATTCTATAAAATGTAATCATGAAAGTAAGAATTCATTTGGATGAAGGATCGGCAGCAGCACGACTGGCGGCCTTCGCCTTCAAAAATGTCCTGAACTCCACCAGTTTTTCAGCTTCCGGAAGCACCTTCTTCACAGCCTCGATGGAGCAGAAGCATTCCGCCCACTCAACCAACCGCGGAGTCTTCGTCTTATCTAGAAAGTTTTTTCCCGTTATAATTTTGATAGCTTTTAGCCAGTTAATATAGGAACCAAGGGAGATGTCGACCAAGTTAATGGTGTCGCCGCCGAAGAAGCTCTTCCCCTTACTGCACTTGACGAAAGCCTCTTCTAACAGCAGCAGTGCGGTAAAGAGTTTCTCCTTGGATTCTGCCTTGATTTTCTCATCCTCATTCCACATCAACTCCCGAATATGAGAATTCAACTGCCAAAAATGGAATATGAAATATTGAACTCAAAGTCTATTTTTGGGACGAGTGCAATTTTTGTGGAAAGATGATAATGAAGTTGTTAAGAAGCGATTATTTTTTTTGAAAGTGCATAAAAATTCTATAAAATCATAAAAAAAATATCGAATCATAGTTTGAAAAATAAAGCATTAAGAAAACTTTTCCGGCAGCTACAGCGCCCCAAATATTTTTATTGATTCATCACCAGAGCTATTCTGATTTTCCCATTGCCAACTAGTTATTTCTAGCATTTTTGGGTTTTGCAGGGAGAAATTATTCTATGTGGCATTCGGACCGGAAGAATTGTACAGATTGTGAGTAAGCATGCTGTTGTATATTGATTTGACATATATTATGTAAAAATATATATTACTATTATAAAAGGGGATTGAGTTTCATTTCACGGCAAATTTTGGCCATCCAATTTAATTAATTTTAATTATTCAAATAAAATTTCAACCTTTCATTTTAATTATTATAATTATAATTAATTAATAATTATAACTTTATTTGATGTATTAATAAACACCTATTGAAATCCTATTTCACACCAATATTTAAAATGAATGCCTTTTCGTTGCTCGGAAGTCGCCTTGGGAGTTTACTGTGAAGGCAATGATCTTTGTCAAGCCTTTTTATTCCTGTTCATGTTGGCTTGGAAGTTACGACGAGAGTTCGCCGCTCGGAAGTCACCTCTGATGACATCCTGACCACAATACTCTATGATTTTGGTTCCTTTCAGCAAGAAAGCAAAGGATATGACAAATCAAAATTCTTTCAAAGTTTTTATTGTTGCAAAAGTCTATAATTTCAGATTAAAATTTCATCTACGAAGAAAGGAGAAAGATTATCTATATCACAACCAATAAATTAAATCAGTTAAATATAAGATAATTGTTCAGCAATAAGGTGGGTCGGAAAAAGTTCTTCGAAAAATAATTTTGATATGATTTGTTGGAACAAGTGCTTGATTGATTTGATGCCTTTGAAGGTGAGCTCTCACCACTTCATTTTCGTACCAAAAAAGTAAAATTTTTGAAGGGCTCAGAAATTTCTTTGGCAAGCTAAACGGGCTAATGAGTTTAATCTTTCAATTCTTTCCTGTCGGCTTTGTTCAGATCTATATGGTTAGATGAAACGCCCACAAAATACAGATTTCATGCTTTGTTTTGCCTGTTGACATTGTTTTTGCTCATTTCAAGCTATTGGTTTTTCATAAAAAATTCTTTTTTTTTTTTAATTCTTTTCTGCTTCGTTCTTATACATGTTTGAATAAGCTTTAGTAACTTTGTTTTCTTCTCAAAGGCTTTGCTATTTGTAGTTGTTGTTTACTACTAATAAATTGGATTTTTTGCAGCACATGTTAGTAGCGGTATGTAAACCGCTTCCAAAACTCTATTTTAGCATCAGTTTTTATTGCAACAAATTGCACCGATTTTTACCGGTGCAAATTGCACCGGTTTTTACCCCACGAAAAGACCCTCCCCCCCCCGGCCCTTAAACAGATCGAGAATGCAAAATTCTTCCCAATCTTATGTGTGTGAACTGCTCGGCTCTCCGTCTTCCGACACCTCGACTCTAAAGTGGAGCAATCCACAACCGAGTGGGGAAAACCACTGTAGGAGGATTACACGGCTGGTCATTAATTACTGTCGGAAACACCCATCCGCTCGCACATCCGCTCGCATCTTGGTCGCTTTTCTTCAGTGTGATTCTCTTCCCCTTCTTCCTCTTCTTCTTCTCATTCTTCTTCTTCATCTTCTTCTCCGTCTTCTTCTTCTTCATTTTCTTCTCCCTCTTCTTCTCATTCTTCTTCTTGTTTTGTTACAATAATTCTTAAAATATAAAAATGTTCAACATACATTGATACGGTCGAAATCTTTTGAGGGGACTCTAATCAATCTGATCTTGTTTGAGCTTCAGCTATTAGGATTCCTCCAAGGGGCCTTATTCATTTCTCTTGTATGTATATGTTTTATTTTGTTCCCTTTTCTCCATTAATAAAGCTCTAAAATACTAACATGTACATCCCGTTTCCGATTTAGACAGAGGCAAACATCAAGAGGAAACTGAGTAAAAGCTTTCAGTACTCATTAGATTCCTAAATAGGTTTATTTATGATTCCTTCTTTTAGCACAAAGTTAAGTGTAAGCATATCAGGTATTGCACAAATTTAAGTGTTAGCACAAAGTTAAGTTTCTTTGATTTCAATTGGATTCAAATTTTAGTTGAGTCCATATTTATATGCACATATTTTAATTATACTTTAGTGCAGTGGCGAAGCCAGAAAATTTATTGAGGGGGGCCTAAATTATTTTATTAAAATCTTCCCTCAACTTTTTTCTTCCGGGCTTGGGACTGGCATTGACAGTTTTAAAAATTTTGGTTTAAAAGCAAACTACTAAACATAAAATGAAGTACACTTACAAGTTACAACTTATACCTTATATTCTTCATATTTTGAAATAACTGAATAATAGCATCATTATCAATACAATCTAAAATTTCTTTTTCATCAATATAAGCGATTAAAGTATCGTTCATCCATTGATCTCCAATTCGATTGCGTAGCCGATTTTTTATGATTGCCATTGCAGAAAATGCTCTTTCAACTCCTGCTGTTGCAACGGATATGAGGACTTTGAGGATACGGAAGATTTTGAGGACTTCTTAAAATATTTCTCCATAATCTTTGTACAAATCTAGATTTGTAAACTACATAAAACATAAAAAATATAATCTAATTATAAAATAAAAACGAAGCACAAAACAAATCTAAATCAAATTCAGATTTTTTATTTAGGATTCCATGTTTTTTAAATTACCTATGACCACCAAACAAGTAAACAAATTCATATACTTTATTTTTTAAATCTTAAACAATATACTAAAACACTGACATCAATTTTCAGTAAATGAAATTATAAGTTTAGATATAAAAAAAAAACTTATAACCAAAATAAAAGGCCCCCTCCTCACTCCGCCGTTGCTTTAGTGGACCTATCCAGATTATTATTTTCATAAGAATTTAGAAGACAATCTTAATGTGTTTTACATCAGAATCTTCTAGCATAATTTTTTTTAAATTAAAATTACTATGAATTTCTTTATATTGTGAAGGCCTTCTGTCAATATCAATTTTCATAGCTATTTCAAATTTGTCAGATAAAATTTTAAAATTAATGTATTTTAATTGCTAATGAATAGCAATAATTAAAACTACTGCTAGCATTTAATAATTAAAGTCCTTATTTTTAAACTACAGTCATTCTAATAAATAAAACAGGAAGAAACTTTAAATGATTTGGTTAGTTTAATATATTTATTCATGAAAATTATATCTCCATCCATAAATGATTAATCAACATTCAACATGAGAGTGCTTAAGTTCTTCTCCAAGAATCTAGTGGAGGAATATTTGTTGTAGGGATTTTTGCGCCCTTTTGAAGACTTAAGGTGTTCTTGCTTGAGGGGGTTTTTGTTGAAAGATTGTTGGAGGATTTTTTAGGGTTTGATTTGAAGCATCAACAAAGGGAGGTGCATATCTGTGAAATCTCTACACTTTTACTTATAAGTTTACCCACCCTGGAAAATTAAGGCTGGTTCCACCCCTGTCTTCTATATATGAATATAGGTTTTGGCCAAGCACAAAATGTGTAGCTTCTCTGGAAGTTGTAGTTGTTGTTTCGACAAATGGTATCAAAGCTCCATAAGCTTTAGATTAGGATGAAGAAGTAGAGAGAAAGACGATGCTACTTGTTAATATTGAGAATGATAAATTCACTGGTCTTAAAGATTTCAACTTTTGGACACCTTGTATATACATACGCTTCTAGCTATGGTAGGACAATTTTACATGCATCTTAGCAAATGAATTTTAAAACATTATTATTTGTTTGACCGAATGGCAACTTCATCATGGATGGCTTGGGTTCTCTTCTCATGCAACCCATGCAGTGCCATTCATCAAATGTTTGTTATTATTTATAATGAAGCCTCCCAATGGAATATGTAAAATTTGGAATTGTGTAATTTTTCTTTGATAAGCCAAGGTCCAAAAAATCTAAATATTTTAACTTTTTTATATTTCCTGATTTTAACAAACTGTCACTAAGAAATTAATAAATTTCTCATTTGGAGTTTCATAACACTATTTTCTCTCTCAATTTCATGCATGATTCATGAGATGTTTGAGTCTACATATCTGTTATCATAGTTTTATTCATGTTTATTTGGTGATATTTTTCATTTATGCAATAGGAATTATAGTTTTCCTTCTCTCTCATAATTTCATGTTTTTGCTTATTCTTATTTATACTATCGTTGTCTTGACCCAATGTATCCATATAGTGAAACCAATGTAGACCTCATCTCTCAAATTCAAACTCTTTCTACCTTCAAGGTCTAAAACTCTCTTGCATATCTCCATTGTTTACTTAATGTGTTCTATACAAGTAATTTAAGTTTCTTAATTTATTTATATTGTCTATTTTATACCCTATGTTTAGTAAAATTTGTGTTGATCTTTTTTTTTTTGTGATATCATGCTTAAGATAACATTATACAAAAAAAAAAAACTTAAAACCCCCAATGCTGGTCCCAAGCACGGATGAAAAGGTGGAGGGTTTATTTTTGTTGCAATACAAAATTATGTTGTTATTCTAAAAGTTTAGAAAGGAGTAGAATGTTTGACATACTTTGAAATTTCATCGATGCTTGGTAGAATCAGCTTTCATTCTCATTTTCTCTTTGGTGGGGGTTGACCCGAACCCGAAATTTTTGAGTCGGGTCCGGGTCGGGTTTTCATGTCGTGTCAAATATTGACAGCCCTAATATTAAACATGTTTTCCAACTTCTATTTGAATTCCTTTCATCATTATGATCACTTGGGATTGGGAGTGAAGGTAGGGCTGTCATACATTTGACCTAGAGCTATCAATCCATTTGTGAATCGATCTCAAGAAATAATACAAGGCCATCTTGTGGCAACAAGGCTGGTTTCCTTTTTCTAACTTGCAACCCTAATCGAAGAATCTTACACTATCCAAAATTGCTATATTCAACTCTCAAAGTAGGTGAAGGAGAAGCTTTACAACGTCAATCTTTACTTTAATAATCTTGCAGATGCCAAGGTTAAATGAAACATTCTGAATACACCAATGTGGTTGTCTCCTTTTTTTTCTCTCATTAAATATCTAATATTAAAATTTTAATATTTTATTTAATATTGTAGTACTCATTCGCATTGAAATATATAATAAAAACATAGAATTATTGTAAACAATTGAATATTAATAATATTTTAATATAATTTATAAATTTAAATGTTATATAAATAAATATTAGATATAAAGAAAAATAAAAATTTGTGATATATAATTATATATACGTATATCTCTCTACAAATTTTTGAAAAAAATATAATGCTAAAATACCTTGATTAAAAGAACAATCAAACTAATCTTAAATCTTTTTTAATTAAATTTTAAGAGAAGTGTAATATATAAAAACTCATCACAAAATAAATCCAATCAAAATATTCTAGAATTTTTGGTCGTCGCGCATACCGTCTCGTCGATGTAGTTGGCCCAGAAGAGAGAGGTGACGCGGTCGTAGGCGTCGGCAGGAAGGATGGGAAAGCCTGAAGAGGACCAGACTTGATCGATGTATTCAACGATAAAAAGGGAGTGGCAGATGGGCTTGCCGCCATGGATGAGTACAGGGAACCTCTTATAGACAGGGTTAGATTTAAGAAGAAGCTCGCTCTTCTTGGTGGGATCTTCTTCGAGAAACTCGTACTTGATCACCTTCAGATTTAGAGCGATTCTTGCTCTCACGACCAAGGGGTTCGCCCACGTCCCGATGAGCTTTACATCTTCTGCTGCCATTACTTATGCCCTTGGAATTTCAGATCTGAAACTCGATAAATGAAACTTGATAAATGAAGAGTGAGCCGAATGAGCAATTAGGAATGTTGCTTACTGGTATTTAAAGCTCGAAAACAGGAGGATTTATTCGCTACAAGTGACGAGGATGCGTAGATTCAGGTTTATGTATATTTATAATTTTTTATAAGACGACTGACGCTATTCCTATCTAATAATATGTTAGAAACAGTCCAGCTATGAGCGAGCGATGACGTTTTTCTATAAACTTAGCTTAGTTTGGCTATTCTGTAACTTTTTGTAAAAAATAATTTAAAAAATTTTGATTAAGAAAATGGAGTTTTCTAACTGAAAAATAAGTATCAAAATTTTTTTTAAAACAGAAGAAAATTGAAGTTTCCTAAAAAGTATTTTTTAAAAGAATCTCATCCAAACAACTCTAAAAAATAATTTCTCCGAAAGGCCAAAAACGCCCTCTCAAACAAGGTCAAAGTAGGGCTATCAAAAGTCATGGGCTTGCTTGCCTAAAAACAAGGGAAGTGGAGAGTCATAAGTGGATATGCATACATAATAGAGAAATATGTTTAAAAACTTTCTTTGATTAACATATTTTAATTTCGAACTGATTATTATTTTTTAAAGTTTGGGGTGATTAAAATTAATCTAGGTTGAGATGGGGGAAGAAAATTTCTATCAAAACTAGAACATTATGTAAATCCTATTTCAAATATTGTATTAAACTACATTCCATGTAAGCAGGTGCGAATGAGTTGAACCGACTCGTGGGCCTGCTCGAGCTCGACTCGATAACGAGCTCATGAGTTGAGAATATTGAGTTTCGAGCTCGAGTGGTTTATGTGGTCGAGTTCAATTGGGTGGTCTCTCGACTCGTTGACTCACGAGCAGCTCGAGTGCGGAAGGTGGAACCGCGAAGGCACAAAAAGCAAATGGCATAAACATGAGCGCAGAAGCGAGAGCGGAAGGAAAAATAGTAGTCATGGATGTTGAAGCATGGGCACGAAAGTAGAAGTGCGTATGCGGAAAATAGGGGTGTGGAAGTGGAAGTTCAGACGCAAAATTGCTTGTAACCGTGGATGTGGAAGCCAGAATCTGAATTGGAAGTGGAAGAGAACGCCGGTCGTACGCCTCTCGAGCCGGCTCACAAGCATGCTTTCATCGCCACGAGCTTGCCTCAAGTAGGCCATTTGAGCTCGAGTCGACCTCAAGCTCGAATTCGGGCTCATGATTTGGCCGATGAGCTGAGCTTGGTTAAGCATGACTCGAGCTCAACTCGACTCGTTTACACTGCAATTTCTCTTTCTCTATCTTGTTAGACCTTATTCCTTGCACAAGTACTATGCTTCTCAGATATACTTTATTACAACTATTCGACTGGATTAATAATCTCTCTAACACAAACTCTGGGGTTAAAATGCTCTACTTTCTCATTACTTGATGTATTATATATTCTGTTTGGAGAGAAAGAAATGGCATACATTTTGAGAATTTGACTAGCAGTAGCTCTACCTTATCTCTGAAAATCAAAAAAGGGCGGTTTTTACTAACATATGCAAGTGAAACAATGGATTAAGATTGATGGAACACTTATAGTGCCAACGGTTTATTACTGGTCTCAACTCTCTATTTCTCTGCTTCGGGTTTTTTGGTCTCCTCATGGACGATGATATGGATCCCTTTGGATTGTCTATGGACAACCAAGGGATCCTTTTTCTGTGTGCCTTCTAGTTAATCGTTTCTGAGTCCTTTGTGGGGACTTTTTTGTTTTTATTTGCTATGTTATGGCTAGCTTTGTTTGCTAGGCCTAGTTTTCTTCAACCTTTTTCTATATTGGTTTGGGTAATTTTTTTAGGATTGGTTTTTGGCTAGTTTTGTGTGTGCTCCATTTTTGGGTGGAGCTTTTTTGTTTAACTTCTTCAATTAGAAATATATGAGCGAGGCCCAAATTTTCCAAAAAAAAAAAAATTATGACTATACCACTGTGCTTATCAAATGTTTGATTCGTTTGATCATGAGCTTCTCAGTCAACTTTCAATCTCCACAAAAATACAAAATTTTAAGGCTCTAATTTTTTTCTTAATATTGAATGAAAATTTCACAAATATACTATGTTGCACCGATACGGATACGGCGACACGGATACGGCACGATACAGATATGGAACATGTCAATTTCTAAATAAAGGATACGGGTGCGAGACGGACACGGCATTATAATTTATAAATCATGTATAAAAATTAAGAAAAAAAATCTAAGCATAATATTTGATATTACAAAAAAATGAAAGCAACATCATTTATAGCCTTGTAGCTTATAATATCAAAATAAAAGTAAGCATTAAAGTTCAAGTACAACAACAAAAGTATAAATATAAATTGTCTAGCACATAAAGTTTCAACTATTCAGTAGAAGGAATGATATGATTAGCTTATTTAGTGGTTTGCCTTTGAACTTCTATATCATCTTCAATAAATGACATAGCTTCTAATTCAGGCTCAACAAGTGAAAGATTATCAATTTCTAATGTTCACATTTAATCAAGAGACTCAAATCCATCTAAAAAATGAGAGAACCTTGCTCGCAGCCGCGAAAATAAATACGACGAGTCTTATTTTTTTTCAGATTTTTTTTTTTGCTTTCAACAAACACGCGTATTGAATACGTGTGTCCTTTTGAAATTAAATGGTATTTTAATTGGATACGGCTTTGCCATATCCCGACACGTATTGATGTTGTATCGGAGGCGTATCCGTGTATCGGTGTATCGGATACAACACGCCTTCATAAATAGATGTATCGCTACAACATAGCAAATACATAAATTTTATTTTGCAAATTCTCAACTTTGAAAGCAACCAAATAACTATGTTCATTATTTACATGGATGCTTGGTGCACCTAGGTCAACGAAATTTGTAGATCACCATTCCAAGAAGGCAAGAAATAGGAGCGGAACTAGCCCTTGTTCTTAGGTGGGGCAAGTGATACAATTATTAAAAATAAAAAGAAATAAGGATGTAAAAATAATTTATTTTGCATATTATCATTTTTCACATACTAATTTGTTAGTATTAGTGAAATTCAACATAATAGGAAGAAAATAACGAGAAGTCGAGAGATTTTCCAATTTTTTTAGGGACAAATTGTGAAAAAAAAGTGAACTTTGGGCAAAAAATGAAATTCAGGCGTGACCAATTACAAATAATAATTAATATTAAGCAGTGCACAGTTTCCGCCCCTGCCAAGAAATATCTCTCTCTCGCTCTCAATAATAATTTTCCTGCAATTTCAATCTAAATTTTCTTCGACACCCAGATTCCATAAAATGTAATCATGAAAGTAAGAATTCATTTGGATGAAGGATCCGCAGCAGCACGACTGGCGGCCTTCAAAAATTTTCTGAACTCCACCAGTTTTTCAGCTTCAGGAAGCACCTCCTTCGAGGCCTCGGCGGAGCAGAAGCATTCCGCCCACTCAACCAACCGCGGAGTCTTCGTCTTATCTAGAAAGTTTTTTCCCGTTATAATTTCGACAGCTTTTAGCCAATTAATGCAGGAACCGAGGGCGATGTCGAGCAAGTTAATGGTGTCGCCGCCGAAGAAGCACTTCCCTTTACTGCACTTAACGAAAGCCTCTTCTAACAGCAGCAGTGCGGTAAAGAGTTGCTCCTCCGCTTCTACCTTGCTTTTCTCTTCCTCATTCCACATCAACACCCGAATCTGAGAAGTGAACTGCCAAAAATGGAATATGAACTCAGAGACTTTTTTTGGAAAGATGATAATAAAGTTGTTCCGAAGAAATTAATTTTTTTGAAAGTGCATAAAATTGTATAAAATCAGTGAAAAAAAAGGGATTTTTACATACATAACACTTAAAAGTTTATTATTTACTCATCTAACACCTAAACTTATCTATTTACACACATACCACTTAAAAGCACTTTGTCTTTCTAAAATACCACACCCTTTACTCTCTCCGTGAAAACCAGCCCGATTTAGGGTGGACGAAGGGGGCATTCCGTCCAGTCATGGGAGTAGGCTCGGGAAGAAAGAAAGATATTTTTTGGTTGGTTTTTCTTATACGGAATACAGAATAGAGGTCTTCTCTCTGTGAAATGGGGTTTGAGAAATTGGGGAACGGGAAGGAGCGACGAAGGGGGATTCGGAGCTTGTTGAGGAGGAAGCATGTGGATTCCTATCGGGTGAAGGCGCAGGAGGGAGGTCACCAGCTCGCTAAAGAACTCTCGTTCTCCAGCTCGTTGCATAAGGTGTTGGAAATTTCAATTTTTTTTTTGTGATCTTGCTGCTTGATTGATGCATTGTGAATTAGATGTAAATTCTACTAAAGCAACTTGTTGTTGTTGTTGACGGTTGTTCAGTAATTCAAATTACAAGATTTTGTTTCGTTTTCACATGTCATATGTGGATTTTTGTTGAGATTAGATCTATGGTATTTCGTCCATTTGATCTAGGCTTTATGATGGGGTTTTTCTGTTTCGGTGATTTTGTGAAGGAGTTTAATTGGAAGGTGTTGTTGTTTTCAGTTTCTTTTGGCGGAGGAAAAAAAAAAAAAAATTGATCAAATAAAAATTGAAATTATAAAGCATTGGCTCATGACTAGAGCTTCATTTGGGACGATTTTTTTGTTACTTCTTAAAATAATTTTTTAGTATATAAATTTTAATTTCATATTAAAAAGCTGTTTTAAAAAGTATAAAAAAAATCGTCCCAAACGAAGATTAGAGCGGTTCTGATTTTTCTACTGCCAACTGGTTATTTCTAGTGTTTTTGGTCTTTGATGGACAGTGATGAGGCAATGCTCTCAACTCAACCCTGAATGGCGGCTGTTCTATATTGGCAAATGATTTATTTCTCCTAATCTATTCTGTTATATTGCTTGTTGGATTACATTATTTATAAAAAATATAAATAAGGCTCAAACTTTTTATAATGAATAAATATATTATAAATTCGAGAATATATATGTTTATCATTTAATTTTTATATAATTAACTATCTAATATTAAAATTTTAATATTTTTTTATATAATATTGTAGTGCTCAATTACATTGAAATATATAATAAAAAAATAAAAATATCGTAAACAATTGAATATTAATAATATTTTTAATATAATTTCTAATTTTAAATGTTATATAAATAAATATTAGATATATAGATGAATAAAATTTTGTGATATATATACGTATATCTCTCTACAAATTTTTGAAAAAAATATTATGCTAAAATACCTTGATTAAAAAAACAATCAAACTATTCTTTAATATTTTTAATTATATTTTTAAGGGAAGTGTAATATATAAAAACTCATCACAAAATAAATCCAATCAAAATTTTCTAGAATTTTTGCTGGTAGCATACCTTGTCGTCGATGTAGGAGGCCCAGAAGCGAGAGATGGCGCGGTCGTAGGCGTCGGCAGAAAGGATGGGAAAGCCTGAAGAGGGCCAGACTTCATCGATGTATTCGACGATGAGAAGGGACTCGCAGATGGGCTTGCCGCCATGGATGAGTACAGGGAACTTCTTATAGACAGGGTTTGATTTAAGAAGAAGCTCGCTCTTCTTTCCGTGCTCTTCTTCGAGAAACTCGTACTCGATCCCCTTCAGATTTAGAGCAATTCTTGCTCTCACGACAAAGGGGCTCGCCCACAACCCGATGAGCTTTACATCTTCTTCTGCCATTAGTTATTCCCTTGAAATTTCAGATCTGAAACTTGATAAATGAAGAGTGAGAGCCGAATGAGCAATTAGGAATGTTGCTTACTGGTATTTAATGCTCGAAAACTTTCAGGCTTGGGTGTATATTTATAATTTTTTTATAAGACGACGGACGCTATTCCTACCTATTAATTTGTTAGAAAACAGTTCAGCTATGCGTGAGCAATGACGTTTTCGTAAAGTCAATCGAAAGTCGTCGGTTTTCTTGCCTAAAAAAATGGAAGTGGAAAGCCATAAGCGGATATGAATATATAATAGAGAAATATGTTTCAAAATTTTCTTCAATCAACATATTTTAATTTTGAACTGCATGTTATTTTTAAAAGTTTAGGGCGATTAAAATTAATTCAAATAGGCTTTGATCTAGGTTGAGACGGGGGTAAGGTAGAAAATTTCTATCAAAGCTAGAACGTCATTGTTCAAAACCTATTTCAAATATTGTACTAAAATACATTCCACGTAAGCAGGTGCGAATGAGTTGAGCCGACTCGTGTGCCTGCTTGAGCTCGACTCGTTAACGAGCTCATGATCCAGATTTTTTAGTTTCGAGCTCGAGTTCGATTGATTGGCTGCTTAACTCGTTGACTCGTTAAGCATCTCTAGTGCAGAACGCGAAACCGCGCAGGCACAAAAAGCAAATGGCAGAATCGTGGGCTCATAAGCGGGAGAGGAAGGCAAAATCGTAGGCTCAGATCGGATGTGGAAGCATAGGCACAGAAAGTGGAACTTCAGACCCGAAATCTCCTATAACCACGGATGTAGAAGTCGGCATTGGAAGTGGAAGAGAACGTTGGTCGCACGCATTGCGAGCTGCCTCACAAGCATGCATCCATCGCCACAACCTGACCTCGAGTAGGCCATTTGATCTTGAGTCGACCACGAGCTCGAGCTAACGATTATGTCGACGAGCTGAGCTTGGTTAAGCATGACTCGAGCTTAACTTAACTTGTTTACACCCATAAATTAAGCAGTGTAATGCCATTATATGTGTATGATTAGAACAGTTATGTGGAAAGTTAGCGATATAACTAAATATTGGGGTGAAGTAAAACTCGTAGCAAAGCAAATAAAAAAGATATAAGCAGTAGAAATAAAAAAATGTTAGGATTTAACGTGGAAAAACACGGAATAGGAAAAAAAACCCAAGATATCAACTATAAAAATTGGGAGAAAAAAAACTACATCTCTCTCTCTCTAGATCTACCCCTTTGCATGGTTCTTACAAGAAAACAAACAAAGAGATTCATAGAAACCACTAACGGACACAACCCTTAAAAAAATAGAGAAAGAAAAACTACTAACCCATTTTGTAGCGTTGCAACGCTAGGTATATAGAGCATTGCAGTGTTTTATTTGATCTATTTATAGTCAACCTAATAACGTTACAGTACTCACAGTGCTCCGCTCTCTATCTTTTTAATGCTTGGCATGGATGCAACATCAGGGCTCTCACGTACGCAACTTTTGGATGCATGATGTATGATTGCACAAAAAAAATGTACGCCTGCAACCCTCTAGCAAGATTAACATACTGAATTGAGGTCTAAGACAACAGTATAACCCAATTGATAGGCACAATTAGATTCCACATAAAACTAACACTCAAATGATTAAATCTCCAAAGAGATGCGGAATAAAAAACAATAATTTTGAATTTTATTGAAGGTTTCATGGGAAACTGTTAGAATCTTGCTCTACATTGCTAAAATTTATTTGAATAATATTCTTACATTGATCAAAATTTAGTATATATGAAAATCCCTCAAAAATATTTATTCAGGCAAGCTAGGCCATATATGACTTTTTCCATATTAAAATTTCTACCTAAAAAGAATCTTATCCACTTCTTTAACTTTGCTTGCTGCTTGCATGTATGTATTGAAATTCATTGATAATCAATGTTGAACCTTGCTTTTCTAACTCTTGTTTTTTTTTTCCAAACTATAATCTATAAATTATTTCGAAATATGAGCAATTTTTGGTGTTACTCCCAGTTTGTCATTTATAAAATCATAACATTCTCAAGTCTATTCATTAAATTTATTCCCAAATATTAAAGTTCACAACAAAATTTTACATCATATTTTTTTGCCTTCGTTAAATTCCCAATACTTAAATCATGCATGATTTGCATCGACTTTATTTGATGACGCAGAAGCTGAACCAAGACTGGAGAAATTCAATTGAACCACCTTACATGTGCCCAATTTATTTCTGTTAGATCTTCTTTTAATATATCTATTCTTCTTTCTTTAATTTCTTTAATTATTGTAGAAGAACTGCTCTCATGAGGATTTTGACAAGGAATAGGGCGATCACATCTCCCTTGTGAATTTGCATGGGACGTTCGTCCTAAATCAGTAGATGATCTGGGGCAGGAATGCAGAGTCCTTTGTGGAGGCCTGTATTAGCCTTATTGGCAATAACACACATCAGTATTGTTGATAATGGCAAGCTAGCATGATGAAATTGACAGGCATTGGCAGTGGTGTCAATCTCATGCACCAATCATATAGATGATGAAGAGCATCAACTTTGTTGGCTATGGTAGGTTGAACAAGTTTGTAGGCATGCCTTGGTGCTTGAGTCAATAGCATGCATTAGCCTTACAATGACATGAGTTGATATTGGTGAAGATGATGGTTCATGAAGTTTCTTAGTGTTGATGTCGACATTGCTAATTAATAAAGTTTGTCGGTTGCAACATTTGCATCAATGACATGCATAGAATTGAAAGGCAATGATGTGCATCAACCTTGTTAGAGGCAAAGTAAACGGGAGATGGTAGTTGGGTAGCGGTGGTTGGGAGGTCAATGATAGGTGACAATAGTTGGGAGATCGTAGTTCGACGACAATTATCAAGAGACTTTATTTGGGTAATGGTTATTTTGATAATAGTGATTGGGCGTTGTCAGTTGTTAGCAACAACTATTGATGTTCGTTGTCAGAGAGAGCTCTCTGTAACATCAAGTCTAAGTTCAGGTGTCTCCCCCCCCTATATGTGAAAAATGAGCATCTAATTATAATTTTATTGAGTGAAATTATGATAATTTTTCCTGAAATGTTCAAAACACTTCATTAAATGATCTATGTTAGCTAGCTAAATTCTTTGACTATATATCATTTTTTTTTCTTTAAAATGTCTTAAAAATACCATAAGTGATCTATGTTCATTGGATTCCTCTTGTCGAGTTGCTAATGTTGACTATAAGCATGTGAGATTTTAAAATTATTTTGGCCATTCAATTAATGTAATGAAATTTTCGTCTTGTTGCGGGCTAGAATATACGCGGTGATAGAGTTAAAATACTACGTCTTAGCGTTGCACGAATATCCAGCTCACACACAGAGAACGCAAGATTTTTACGTGGAAAGTCCTGAAAAAAGAGAAAACCCATGGGACCTGGACCAGTTGAAAATTATTCCACTAGAATTTGAGTTGGTTACGATGGGTTGATTCGCCTTCAAGCTAGGGCGATCATATTACAAGCAATAACTATATGATAGAAGTCCGAGTGCAAGGTGATGATCCGGCCGAACTTCGGGCTTCAGGTGGTGAACTGGCAGAACTCCGGGCCTTAAGTGATGGCCTGGCATAGCACAGGGCATTAGGCGGTAGTCCGGCGGAAGTCTGCCCTTGGTCGAGGAGGAGCGAGGAGGAAAGAGCTATCTCCAATCTCTCTCTTGCTTGGAGCCTTCCTTTCAAGAGAAAGGAGGGGTCTATTTATATATTTATGGAGTGGCATAGCCCGTAAATAGCTGAGATATCAAGGGTAAATGGGAAGTGGTTCGTTGGATGGACGGTCGATATTGAATCTCTTGATCGTGAACTGTTTGATGGAACTTTGAATGTCTTAGTCATGTCGGAATTCAGTGACCTTGGGCTCGTTGGATTCATCTCGTCGAGCCTCTTGATTTGACTATAAGCACGTTATGTTTGGAAATCGCTTGGTAATCCAAATTATGGTTCAAACCTTCCAACAACGCTTCGGGTGCTTGATTTGGACTCATTTCGGCTCGAATTGAGTCGAATTTGGTGTCATTCGGTTTGTATTTCCGAGACGTTCAGTTTCCAACTTGATTTTGCATTGAGATTCGTGCCCAATCAAGATAATTTTTTGATAACGTATCACTTCTCAACACTTTCTCTGATGTGATCTTCACTTCAACTCTAAATTTTTTAAAATTATGCTTTGGATGGCTTTTAAAATTGCATCAAAACTTGTACTTCACGAAATGGATTTTTGGGTGCATTATCATAAGTAATACAATAAACAGCCAATAATGCGCAAGATCAAAACATATTTATGAGGAGCTATCATATCATGCACGCTTCTCTTGAATAGAAAGATTAAACTAACAGCAAAGAACAAATCAAAAGAAAAATCATTTGGATGGAGGAGCTGAAGCAGCACGACGAAGGGCCAAAAGAGCTTCGCTGTACTCCACCAGTTTTTTAGCTTCCGGCAGCACCTCCTTGACTGCTTCGTCGGAACAGAAGCCTTCCGTCCATTCAACTAACCGAGGAGTCTTCGTCTTATCCAGAATGTTTATTCCCGTTATGATTTCGATAGCTTTCAGCAAACTAAGGCAGGAACCGAGGGTGATGTCCACCAAGTTAATGGTGTCGCCGCCGAAGAAGCTCTTCCCCTTACTGCACTTAACGAAAGTCTCTTCTAACTGCAGCAGTGCGGCGAACAGTAGCTCCGTCGCTTCCGCCTTCTTCTCATCCACACCAAAGATCAACGCTCGAATCTGAGGAATCACCTGCCAATAAGGCAAAATAGGCGTATTTTTATAAATGAGCATTTTAATAATTTTTATTATAAATATGAGAATACGGAGTACGGACCTCAAAATTTAGAAATAAACAAAATTGAAAAATTAAATTCCGGAAGCGAAATCCGGTTTCAAAGAATCGTCACATTGCTTTAATTATTATTAAGAACAATAATTATGAGGAGGAGAATTAGATAAATGATAAAAAATTTGATTAAAATAAAAAATATTAATATACTAATTAAAAATATTTTCTATCATAAAATGATACACAATTTTTTTCTTAAAAATAAAACAATTTTATTTTTTTAATCTTAGATTATTTCCCTCATATATTTAGAGTAGAAATATATTTGGTCTTATAGGTTCTATTTATTTATTTTGATGAAATTGATAAGATAATAATTTTTTTTTATTTTATAATTTCACATTAATTATTTGATTTCAACAAAAATTTTAGGAATCACATTTAACTCAAAAATAAATATAAAACTTTATTTATTGATCATTTTTCTTTAAATCCTCATTAAAAAAACAAAATGTTTATCAAAATTCATATTTTATTGCCTCACGTACAAAATTAAACCTCATATTCTCCTAATTATTATGTATTCTGTATTTATATCAATCTAATAATTAATTTTAATTTTTATTAATATATCATTCTAATATCTAAATCATATCAAAACTTATGATATCTTTTTATTTTTAATGTAATTTAAGATATTAAATTTTAAATATTAAAATTTTCAATATAATATTAGATTTTTAATATTTATTAATATATGTTTCTAATATCTAAATTATATCAAAACTTATGATTTCATTATAAAATATTCACATAAGGAATATTTTTAATGTAATTTAAAATTTAGAAAAAATTTTAATGTAACTTACATATGTGATGGCTGTGAGTTTTTGTGTTTAATTTGCTCAAAACACAAAACAGAAAAATAAATCCTCTTAAGCACTACCTTGTCGTCAACGAAGGCAGCCCAGAAGCGAGCGAAGGCGCGCTCATGGGGGTCGGCAGAGAGGATGGAAGGGCCAGAAGAAGCCCAGACTTGATCAATATACTGCAAAATGATAAGGGACTCGCAGACGGGCTTATCTCCATGGATGAGAACGGGTACCTTCTTGTAAACTGGATTGTACTTGAGAAGAAGCTCGCTTTTGTTCAACAAATCCTCTGGGAGGAACTCGTATTCGATCCCCTTCAGGTTGAGAGCAATCATCACTCTCGCCACATAGGGACTCGTCCAGAACCCGATCAGCTTCACCCCGTCTCCTTTCTCCATTGTCTTTGTAGATCTGAAAGTAGTTTCAAATTTAGTTAAGGATGATCTGGATTTCTTCCACGGAGCTTGACGAGCATTTAAGCTCGAATGCAGAGCGCAGATCTCCTATTTCCTTCATTAGTCAACATTTTTTTAAACGTGAGCGATGACGTTGGTAATCAGTCAAAAGGCAGACTTGCGAGGCGATCCATATTTTGTTTGCTTGCTAAAAAGCTTACAAAGATCTAGAAGTATCCGGCAACTCTTGATTGCTGTGGGCTACAATTCTGTGCTTTTAGTGGTCTGTAATTGCACCGTATAATTCTGGGTTGGATCCGAACCCATTCCGTGCCCCAATTTTGACATCCCTACTCTGATGGAAGTTCAAATAGGATGCTGGATTGATTATAACTTGGTTTTTTTGTTTGAAATTTATAAATTTCTATTGATTTATTACTAAATTAGTTTAGGTGCATTCATAGAGCTCCCAAATTCAAAGAATCGTAGTTTCCCTCAACAATAGACACCAACGATCACTGCCATCAGCTACATGGTTTGACTACAATCACCTGATTGTTGACTCTCGATCACTAACACATTTTATAATTTGATACCACTGCGGACCGTTGTTACATGTAATGCTAACATTCGTGCTACTTGACGACCATTTCCTGATTTTATCAACCATCGTGATGTTGAGGGCAATCATCGCATGACAACCTTCATCGATTGTCAATTGACACCGGTGTGCTACATCCTTCGTTGTTTCATTAACATTTTCATAACTCTCATAGAAGATCAGGCTTGCAATACAAACATTGTAATCTCGCATTCTTAAGTTAGAAAGGACAAAACATATAGAAATAGGTCACCACTTCATCAATGATCACATATAGGCAAAGCATATTACCGTCACTCCAATCAACACAGTGGATCACATCGCCGCCGGCCCCTCCTCATGATTGGAGAAAGCCGCAAACAGGAGGCTGTCGGCTCGTCCTCCCCTCGACGTCAACCGACACCTCCCGCCGACCTCCTATCTCCTAGCCTGAGCATCCCTTCTCCACTGACTGACTTCACGCCATGGACCGGTCGTTCTCTCCGGCGCACACATGCTCGGACGATGGTGACATGGAGTTGGAAACAACTTTTTTTTTTTTTGGACATTTAGGCCATTTAAGGCAAACTCACACACACAACGCATACACAAGGACGATCGAACTTGGACCTCTTAGTTGGAAGCCTAAGCTTTCAACCAATAGGCAGGGAGAGTTGTGTATTGGAAACGATTTTGCTGTTTGCGAACTGGATTCTGGGATGATGTTACGTGTGGAAATTCTCTAATATGGCCAATAAGGACTTAGAAAAGAAAATTGCCGCATATTAGGTGTTTGCGTCTATGCCTCAAAGGATAGGGAAATGGGCTGCTATACTCGTACCGGACTTCGGACAAGGAGAAATGGTGAGAAAGAAACTTATCTTCCTCTATGTAAAAAGTGAACTACTATTCTTACTGTTGTACATATTTTTTATATTCTTTGTTTATTCAATTGTTATTATCATTTCAAACCATAATCTTTATTGGATAAAATTATTCTAATGATTGGAGATTGATATATCATCAAAATTATCTTTATTGGCACGAATGTCAAAGCAAATAATAAGTTGGAAACTTCAAAAATTTAATTCGGGGCCATCTCAATCTATTATCAAATTTATAGTCGAATTGAACATTCAAAAAATAAGAGCCCAACGACACCAAATTCGATCCAATCCAAGCTTCAAATGAGTCAAATCAAAGAGCGAAGCCACATTTGGAAGGTTCAAATCATAATTTAAATTAACAACAATTTTTAAATGTGGCGTGCTTATAATCGAATCGAGCGACTTGATGAGAAAAATTCCAACAAGCTCAAGATCGTCAAATTCTGATATCATTAAGACATTCAAATGCCTAATAAACGTTCCACAATCAAGGGATTCACATCGGCTTCTATTCAAACCACTCCCAATTTACCATTTATCTTCCTCCTATTTATTGGTCATGTCACTTTAAAAACTATAAATTCACTCATCATTTCTCATGAAAGGGGAACCAAAGCAAGGAAGAAAAGAAGAAATGAAGAGAAAGAAGAAAGTTATGTTGCCACCAGACTCCTCCTTGACCACCTTCCGGCCAACTACCGTATGAACTTTCACTAGACTTATGCCAGACCACCGACTGACACCCAACTTCCATCCATGCTTAAGACTTCGTCCATCATCGGACTTTCATCGGACTTATGCCCGATGTTAGAATTTGTTCCATCGCTAGACTGTCGCTCGTCACCGACTTTTCGTCTGTCGCCAAACATCTACCCATTGCTAGACTTCCGTCAAGGCTTCTATCCGATGTCAAGCATCTATCCATGTTGGACTTCTGCCCGACACTGGACTTACATCCATCGTCGGACTTTCGACCTCCGTTGTCTGAATACGGTCCTTCTGACCTCCGTTACGAGACAACAATATTTCTAACTACTATCGCCTTCAATACGGTTCTTCTCCGACTCCGTCATCAGATAAAATTCCTTTCGATCTCTATCGCTAGATTATGGTCTTTCGGACCTATGTTGCCCATCAACTAAGTTCGTCTTACCTTCATCACCAGATTAACTGG